GTGCATCAGAAACAGCTGTTACCATGGCAACTGCATTCATCGCATGATTGACATTCTTTGGAGAAGGAACATCATCCTCAGAAGCAGCGGATACCACACGAACAGCCAACAATAGAAGGTATATGTATGATTAGGAGACCTGCATGATTTAAAGATTTTCTACGTAATGCATGTACAGAGACTGATGGAAGCTGATTGTTAATCTTCTACTCTTTTAATGAACGATAATTTTCATTGTTGGCTATGCATGTTGGGTAACTTGGGTAATTTGTAAATACAAATGATTACGCATGCAACAAATTTATGAAAAGTGGTGTTGGGTGAAATGAAATTATACATTGTGTGCTGGCAAGGTTGTCATAGCTATGTGACCTTTACCACTGCTGTAAGTGTTTTTGTGTGTCTTCTGTGGCAGACATTAAACACACCACTTTAAACACCCAGATCCATTGTAATGTGGTTAACTCGTGACTGGCATCTGAAGACACCTAGCAAGCAACTCAGTTCAAGAGCAATTCAGGATGGGCAACAAATATTGGCCTTGACAGCAGAGTAACATATTGAAAGTGACAAGCCCCTCTCCTGAAGGGATTCCTTGCTTCTAACCTTTTGGCTGCAGTGAAAAGAGGGAGATACTGGCTTAAAGAAACAGTCAATTTTGTTGGTTTTAACAACCCAACCCCTTCAAATTTTATACATTCTTGTACATTAAAACCCAGCCCATAGTTTTATCCACACAATTTAAAATAATGCTACCATTCAGAAAAATGTTTGAATCAAATGATTTGTAATGTCCAGCTGTAAATCAAGCTGTATTCAATTTGATTAAACTAATGAAGAACCTGGAACATTGAAAATTAATGAATCATTCTAATAGTTATTCATATCTTTTGTTTTCCAGATAATTTGTTTATTATTTTAATTATTTTATAAATGTTTTATGGAATAATTTCCTGATAGCCGACTTTTAATCCAGTGTTCAGGTACAAAATTTAACTTCTTAAAAAATAACAATTCCATCTAAAAACACTTGGCAAATCAGTTTAAATCACCCTCAGGATACCTCAATTTACTTTTTAATTGATACAAATTTGTGAAAAAGCAGACAATTACTATGGTGTAAGTCAAAAAGATCAATTATAATTCTTTTCTTTCAGGACAGTCGTAGCAGTTAAGAATAACAATGGAACCTGTTCAGTGCAGCAATTTGGCAGGAAGACAAAGCAAAATTTAATACTTTTAAAAGTCAGATTGTTATTGGCTTTAAGCCCAACTTGCTTGAGAAGTCCAGGTTGTGAAAATAAAGGGAGACAGTTAGGGCTCTACTAATAGTTTAACTCCCGCTGATTCAGTCTTTTGATGGGAAATGATTAAGGAACCTGATGAGAAGAAGCAAAGTAGCTGAAATAATGTATTTTATCTTGACACCTTTTCAGAATCGCAATTGAACTTGTTATCAAATTTTTGAATAATATTAGTGCTCAGTATTGGGACTACCTTGCTGAAGTCCCATAGTATCCATCATGAGGTGCTATGGTGGAGGAACTGGAGGCAAGCTGTAACAATCAACATCAACTTACTTTTATGTTTCGCCTTTCATGCAATAAAATGTCACTCGGCAGTTTATGAGAGCACCATAAAGTACAAATTAGGCACAGAGCTACAAAAATTGGTGTGGCTTCATCAAAGAGGTAGATGTCTTGAAGAGTCTTCAAGAAAGAAATGGTCTACTTCTGCTCCTTTTTCTAA